CATTTCACTTTTGTCTCCCCAAAGCTGGTACAGCCCAATTATTCCCTTCTTTGTAGAGTTGGATTATTTGCCCTTTAGTGGGGCATGTGTCATGTGCACTTGTGTGGATGGCTTCTAGGCCTTTAGTATGGTCCAAAATGGCAATTAGTACGTGTGGATCACATCGGTAGGGTACTATGTGAGGGGTGGTGCCCATCCCTCTATTTGGCTTCTCCCTCCAGAATTACCATATATATATATTGCACACATTTGCTAATATTTAATTGCCTATTTCTCTTCAAGATTTAATCAGTTCCCATAGGAAGCGAAGTACGGATCCAAGGACAAAGTTGCGGTGTTGCGGATGAGGACAAACAAGCAGAGGGGTTGGCCATGATGGGTGAGTGTGCGGTGGTCGCATGGGGAGGGTTATCTCTACGTGAGGGGATGGCTCGAGGGATGGTCGGATGAGTAGATGGATGATCGGGGGCACGCCGACTTGGTGGTGTGAGTAGAGGGATGGTCGGTGGCAGATAGGGTAGAAGGACGGTTAAGGCCAGCGGCTCGGTGGCATGGCAGCGACATTGCCTCAGATGACCGGGGATGGGGGTTACGGCGGCGGGGGTGGGCTGTCGACAACGCTGCTGGTGAAAGGGGTAGATGTGGCAGTCAACTAAACCATGAAAAAAATTCAGCTTTGCATACATCAGATTTTGGATTTGATTAGCGGAAACTATCGCAGCGATTTCACATATTATGCACGAAAAAATATCGTTGGTGTGTGGCCTTCCTACTTCTCTTCCGTCTGTATATTTTGTACATTTTTAAGTTCACATATTATGTACATTTTTTAAGTTCCGAATAATTTTTAAGTAAGCTTTCGGACAATTTTTGAAAAAGACAAACCGAATTTGAAAACACAACATTTTTTAAATTTGCGAACAATTTTGAAATGCAGACAATTTTTGAAACTCCTGCAAAAATGGAAATATGAACATTTAAAAAAATTATGAACTATTTTCGAAAAAACGAACATTTTTTCAAGTACCGAACAATTTTGAAAAAGTTGTGAACATTTTGAAGAAAAATATACCGAGCAAAATTTCAAAGACTATCATTTTTCGAAAATTGCCAACAATTTTTAAGGCGGTTTTTTAAACTCCAGAAAAATGGATATTTTACTGACAGTTTTTCAAACATGAATATTTTTTAAAATTTGTGAACAATTGTTTATGGCAGGAACATTTTCTGAAATTCTGAACATTTTTCAAAAAGAATGGGGATTTTCCATATTTATGAACAAAACCGTAAAACACAACTATTTTAAGAAAAAATAAAAAAAGGAAGAAAGGAAAATATATAATTGAAAATGAAAATGAAAAATGAAAGGAAAAGAAAGAAAAAGAATGAATGGAAACAAAACGAAAATAGACAGAAAAGGTAAAAAGGCGAGAAAAGAAAAACTGGAGAAGAGAAAAAAAGCAGAATAAGAAAAAAAAAGGGTTCAGGAACCTTTTGGAAGTTTCCCAAAACCGAAAAAACCGACTGGGAACCTCTGGAAGGGTCCCAATACAGGGGACGTTGAAACGCTTAAACGGGCTGGCCCAACTCGAATGATCGCTCGGTCTACCCTCTGCGAAGCAGCCACAGTTCGATACAAAATGCGTTGAATAGGGATTTCCCTTATGACATCGGGTTTCCAAGACACATGTTCTATCAAATTGAGCTTTTCGGGAGATTCTGTTATTGTTATATAAAAAAAGAACTTCATAAAGTAAAATATCGAGGTGCAAGCCCTGTAACGTCATTTCACTTTTGTCTCTCCAAAGCAGGTACAACCCAATTATTCCCTTCTTTGTAGAGTTGGATTATTTGCCCTTTAGTGGCGGATGTGTCATGTGCACTTGTGTGGATGGCTTCTAGGCCTTCAGTATGGTCCAAAATGGCAATTAGTACGTGTGGATCACATCGGTAGGGTACTATGTGATGGGTGGTGCCCATCCCTTTATTTGGCTTCTCCCTCCAGAATGACCATATATATATTGCACACATTTGCTAATATTTAATTGCTTATTTTTCTTCAAGATTTAATCGAGTCCCATAGGAAGCGAAGGACAGAGCCAAGGACAAAGACGTTGCGGTGTTGCCGATGAGGACAAACAAGCAGAGGGGTTGGCCATGATGGGTGAGTGCGCGGTGGTGGCAGGGGGAGGGTTATCTCTACCTAAGGGGATGGCTCGATGGGATGGTCGGATGAGTAGATGGATGATCGGGGGCACGCCGACCTGGTGGTGTGAGTAGAGGGATGGTCGGTGGCAGATAGGGTAGAAGGACGGTTAAGGCCGGCGGCTCGGTGGCGTGACAGCGACATTGCCTCGGATGACCGGGGATGGGGGTTACGGCGGCAGGGGTGGGCTGTCGACAACGCTGCTGGTGAAAGGGGTAGATGTGGCAGTCAACTAAACCATGAGAAAATTTCAGCTTTGCATGCACCAGATTTTGGATTTGATTGGCGGAAACTATCGCAGCGATTTCACATATTATGCACGAAAAAATATCTTTGATGCGTGGCCTTCCTACTTCTCTTCCGTCTGTATATTTTGTACATTTTTAAGTTCACATATTATGTACATTTTTTAAGTTCCGAATAATTTTTAAGTAAGCTTTCGGACAATTTTTGAAAAAGACAAACCAAATTTGAAAACACAACATTTTTTAAATTTGTGAACAATTTTGAAATGCAGACAATTTTTTAAACTCCTGCAAAAACGGAAATATGAACATTTAAAAAAATTATGAACTATTTTCGAAAAAACGAACATTTTTTCAAGTTCCGAACAATTTTGAAAAAGCTGTGAACACTTTGAAGAAAAAGATACTGAGCAAAATTTAAAAGACTATCATTTTTCAAAAATTGGCAACAATTTTCAAGGCGGTTTTTTAAACTCCTGAAAAATGGATATTTTACTGACAGCTTTTCAAACATGAATATTTTTTTAAACTTGTGAACAATTGTTTATGGCGGGAACATTTTCTGAAATTCTGAACATTTTTCAAAAAGTATGGGGATTTTCCATATTTACGAACAAAATAGTAAAGCACAACTATTTTAAGAAAAATATAAAAAGGAAGACAAGAAAGTATATAATCGAAAATGAAAGGAAAAGAAAGGAAAAAAATGAATGGAAACAAAACGAAAATGGAAAGGCGAGAAAAGATAAACTGGAAAAGAAAATAAAAGCATAATAAGAAAAAAAAGGTTCAGGAACCTTTTGGAAGTTTCCCAAAACCAAAAAAACAGACTGGGAACCTCTGGAAGGGTCCCAATACAGGGGACGTTGAAACGCTTAAACGGGCTGGCCCAACTCGAATGATCGCTCGGTCTCCCCTGTGAGAAGCAGCCACAGTTCGATTTAAAATGCGTTGAATAGGGATTTCCCTTATGACATCGGGTTTCCAAGACACACGTTCTATCAAATTGAGCTTTTCGGGAGATTATGTTATTGTTATTTAAAAAGAGAACTTCATAAAGTAAAATATCGAGGTGCAAGCCCTATAACGTCATTTCACTTTTATCTCCAAAGCGGGTACAACCCAATTATTCCCTTCTTTGTAGAGTTGGATTATTTGCTCTTTAGTGGGGGATGTGTCATGTGCACTTGTGTGGATGGCTTCTAGGCCTTCAGTATGGTCCAAAATGGCAATTAGTATGGTCCAAAATTTCAAAGACTATCATTTTTCGAAAATTGCCAACAATTTTTAAGGCGGTTTTTTAAACTCATGAAAAATGGATATTTTACTGACAATTTTTTAAACAAGAATATTTTTTAAAATTTGTGAAAATTGTTTAAGACGGAAACATTTTTTGAAATTCTCAACATTTTTTAAAATTATGGGGATTTTCCATATTTACGAACAAAACAATAAAACACAACTATTTAAGAAAAAATATAAAAAGGAAGAAAGGAAAATATAAATTTGAAAATGAAAAATTAAAATGAAAGGAAAAGAAAGGAAAAAATTGATGAAAAAAAAAATAGACAGAAAAGATAAAAAAGGCGAGAAAAGAAAAATCTGGAAAAGAGAAAAAAAATAAAAAAACGGGTCAAGAACCTTCTGGAAGTTTCCTAAAACCAAAAAAACGACTGGGACCCTCTGGAAGGTTCCCAATACCGGGGATGTTGTAACGCTTAAACTGGCAGGCCCAGCTCGAATGATCGCTCGATCTCCCCTATGCGAAGCAGCCACAGTTCGATGCAAAATGCGTTGAATAGGGATTTCCCTTATGATATCGGGTTTCCAAGACACACATTCTATCAAATTGAGCTTTTCGGAAGATTCTGTTATTGTTATTTATTAAAAGAACTTCATAAAGTAAAATATCGAGGTGCAAGCCCTGCAACGTCATTTGACTTTTGTCTCTCCAAAGCGGGTACAACCCAATTATTCCCTTCTTTGTATAGTTGGATTATTTGCCCTTTAGTGGGGGATCTGTCATGTGCACTTGTGTGGATGGCTTCTAGGCCTTCAGTATGGTCCAAAACGGCAAGTGGTATGTGGGGATCACAGACATTGCGGTGTTGCCGGTGAGGACAAGCATGCCTGAGAGGCTGGCCATGAAGTTGTAGGCGAAGGTTGATGGGTGAGAGTGCGGGTGGTGGTAGAGGGAGGGGTGTCATCTCTGCGTGACGGGATGGCTTGACAGGATGGTCGGATGAGTAGAGGGGATCGGGGGCACGGCGACTCGTGGTGTGGGTAGAGGGATGGTAGGGAGCGGATAGAACACTGGTCCGACACGGATAGAAGGACGGTTAGGGCTGACGGCTAGGCGACGTGGCAGCGACATTGCCGCGGATGGCCGGGGACGGCGGTTGTGGCGGCGGGTGGGCGGGCCAGACAACGCTGCTGCTGGTGAAAGGGGTAGACGTGGCAGTAAACTAAACCATGAGAAAATTTCGGCTTTGCATGCACCAGATTTTGAATTTAATTGGTAGTAGAAACTATTACTGCTCAATTGCTGCTCACCGGCGCCCCCGCGCCCGCGGCCCGGGCCGCCTGGCCGTAGCAGTACTCGAGCTGGCCGTCGTCCATGTCGCCCATATCGTCGGCGCGGTCCATGGCGCGGCGGCGACCATGCCGGACAGGTCGTGGCGGCAGGTGGGGCAGTTGGCGCCGCGGTCGAGCCAGGTGAGCATGCAGTGCGCGTGGTACGCGTGCGAGCAGGGCAGGTTCACCGGCCCGGACTTGCCGCCGTCGCGGAACTCGTCGAAGCAGATCCGGCACTCCTCGTCCGACCCGGGCGCCACCGTCTGCATCGCCACCTCGGCGCACCGCCGGAGCACGGCCCGGGGCTCGCTGAACACCCGCGTCACCCGGAGCCGCGCGTCCACCTCGAACCGGCAGCGCCGCTCCGGGCAGGAGGCGAGCCAGCGGGAGCCCTGCTCGCGCAGCCACGCCGCGATGCGCCGCGGCGCGTGCTCGCCGTCCCAGGCGGACTCATCGGAGAGGTCGAGGCCGACGCCGCGCAGCACGGGCGTGGAGGCGAGCATGTCGAGCACGGCGGGGAGGACGTCGTCGGGGCGGAGGAGGACGGAGGGGTCGCGCAGGTCGCGCACCTCGTCGGACGTGGACGGCTGCTGGAGGAACTCCGGCTTGACGCGGTCGGGGAGGGCGAGGCCGCCGCCGCGGAGCCGGCGGGTGGCGTGCTCGAGGGTGACGGTGCAGCGGAGGTGCACGGACGAGAGGCCGGCGCCGGCGCGCTCCTCGCCCAGGGCCAGCACGTTGAACCGGATGGCGGTGCCGGGGGCGGTGCGGATCCGCGTCTCCACCGCCATGGCCGCCCAGATCTCCGGCGCGCGTCTCGCCGGCCGCCCCCGTTTTACGGCGGACACTTTATCGGGAAAAGATCTGGATTCTGGGCCGCTTGAGAACAACGCCACCTGTACCTGGGTCTGGACTTCCGTGACCGGGTTGTACTGCTACACCAGATCCTATCTGAATCCGGTTCAGTTGGTTTTTTCGATTTTTTTTTGTTCAGTATGGGTTTTGGACTGCTGCGTAGGGGACTCCTGGCGGACTCTAAAAAGAACTTTGACAGGGAAAATATACAGGTATACTTCTACTCCCTTCGTTCCTAAATATTTGTCTTTCTAAAGATTTCAATAAATGACTACATACAAAGCAAAATGAGTGAATCTACACTCTAAAATATGTCTATATGCATTCATATGTGGTAGTCCATTTGAAATCTCTAAAAAGACAAATATTCAGGAACGGAGGGAGTAGTAAACTGCCTGTGCGTTGCCACCGACATTTAAAAAAAATACTGATTTCGTATGTAAGCATAAGCCATGTCAAATTTCACATGTATAAAAAGGTAGCCAATAATATAGAACAAATAATCACAAAAATGAAATCCAATGATGTATACTTTGAGACCTGATGCAGAGTACATTTGCCAAAAAAAATCTGATGCAGAGTAAAGAAAGTAGTAGAAACACATATAACTTTGTAGTGTGCAATTCATTAAAAATGATAGATAGCACCCTTCTTTGTGGAAAAGACCTCAGGTCATATATACCAACTTGTGGTTGGATGGTTTCAGGGACAGTGGTATTCCCAGCCCATCAGAGTTCAAGTCCTGGTGCTCACATTATTCCTGAATTTATTTTAGGATTGACGAGGCGTCTACGGTTACTTCGTAAATTCCAAGATGATATGTCGGCTCAGTCTCTCAGAGGTGCTCATAGGGGTAGGGTGTGTGTGCGCGCGTTCATAGGGGTGAGTGTATGCGCGTATGTATGAGTGATTGCGTCTGTACTATGTTCGAAAAAAAAACACCATTGGTACAAGGAACCCAAAGAAAACATAAATTACAACTGAGTCCTTGGAACTTCGACACACCCCAAACTCCGATGTGGGTTGAGGCGCACCACCGCCGCTCCAACATGGAGCCGACGTGACCTTGTAGAGTGCGGTCGGGTTCTTCGCGGCCAGGAAGTCGTCAACCTTGGTCCAATAGGACCAGTATTGGACCAGCATACCAAGACGAAGAACCACCAGGGACGAGACATGGGGAGATCTGGCGCTGATAACCCACACGTATAGGGGATCGCAACAATTTTCGAGGATAGAGTATTCAAACCAAATTTATAGATTCGGCACAAGGGGAGCCAAAGAATATTTGTAAGTATTAGCAGTTGAGTTGTCAATGTAGCTACACCTGGAGATTAAATATCTGCAGCAAAGCGATCAATAGCACAATACTATGATAGTTTTGATAGCAGTGATAACAGTAGTAGTAACGGTAACAGTGATAGCAATAATTTTTTAGTAGTTGTAACAGTAGCAATAGCAATAGTAACTTAGCAAAAATAATATGTGAAAAATTCGTAGGCATTGGATCGGTGATTTCGTTGGATGATATTCATCATATAACAGTGATAACCTAGGGCGACACAGAAGTAACTCCAGTTCATAAATATAATGTATACATGCTTAGAGAAAAGAACTTGCATGACATCTTTTGTCCTACCCTCCCATGGCAGCCGGGTCCATAAAGAAAGTAAGAGATATTAAGGTCTCCTTTTAATAGAGAACCGGAACAAAGCATTAACATATAGTGAATATATGAAGTCCGCAAACTACGGTAATCACCGAAATAAATCTCAATTATTGTCACCTCGGAGTATGCGGATCATAACACATAGCAGGTGCATATAACTTGCAAGATTGAATCACGAACATAGATATAATGGTGAAAACATAAACGGTCCAAATCTGGAATCATGGCACTCGGGCCCTAGTGACAAGCACAATCTCATAACATAGTGGATACTAGGGATCAAGGCCTAACAAAACTAACTCAATTACATGATGAGTCGTATCCAACCCACCACCGTCCAGCATGTCTACGAAGGAATTACTCACTTCCGGCGGTGAGCATCATGAAATTGGTGGAGGATGGTTGATGATGACAAAGACCGAAGGTTTCCCTCTCCGGAGCCTCGAATGGGCTCCAGATCTGGCCTCCCAATGAAGAACATGAGGTGGCGGCGGCTCCGTATCGTAAAACACGATAAAACTTCCTCTCCTTTTTTCTGAAAAAATAGAATTTTATAGCGTTGAAATTAGGGTCAGCGGGCCTCATGGGTCCCACTACCCACCACGGCATGCCAGAGGGGGGTGGCGCGCCCTGGTGCCTTGTGGGCAGCTTGGCCCCCTCCAGTGGGTCTTGGTTCTAGTATTTTTTATTTATTCCAAAATTCTTTAAAAAGTTTCGTCCAATACCTAGAATTTTTAGTTCTGCACAAAAACAACACCATGGTAATACTGCTGAAAACAGTGTCAGTCCGAATTAGTTTCATTCAAATCATGCAAATTAGAGTCCAAAACAAGAGCAAAATCATTAGAAAAGTAGATACGACGAAGACGTATCAACTCCCCCAAGCTCAGTTGACAAACTGAAAGTGACAAAGAAAACTTTTACGAACTCTTTTGTTTTGTGTTTATACATATGCTTAAATAACACCCAAATTTTCAGCAAAGATCATAACTAATCATGTAGATGATAACTCTTAAAGATTATATTCACCCATATCAATGGCAAAATCAGCTAGGGAGCAATAATAAAATATTTTAAATGCCAGCACTTTGTCAAAACAATCATGATATATATATGACAATAGTGGTATCTCGCTAGCTCTTTCTGAGACCGCAAAACATAAATGCAAAACACCTCCAAAGGTCAAGCAACGTCTAAATATTGTAATTCATGGTAGAAGAGGTCCATTCATGATGCATTTAACATTAACTATACACAATGCATGAGGATGTCAACAATGCTCTCAGGACTGGTGCTTGTTTGAGAAGGTGGTGACTCAATCATAAAAGTAAATAGATATGCCCTTCGTAGAGGGAAGCAGAGATTTGCAGAGGTGCCAGAGCTCAAAGCTTAAATCAGAGATAAATATAATTTTGTGAGGCATACCTTTCCTGTCAATGTTACGACCAAAAGTTATCAATATTTTCCATGCTAAACACATTAGCGGCGATTCCCAAGTGGTAAAAGTAAAGTTTACTCCCCCTCCACCAACAAACACAAGCCATGGCTAACCGAATCCACGGGTGCCTTCCATACCATACAAACACAAGCCATGACAAAGGTGTCCATTATGTTTTTGTCAGGTTTTTTCCCAGGGATTGTCGAGTTTTTCTCTAATACTTTTTGGAAGATGATTAGAAAGAACACCCATGACAATTGTGGGAAATTACCCTTTTCACTTTAATGGCATTATTGAAAATAAGTACCTATTGGAATTAGAACAAATAAATGGAAGATTTATTTGGTCTAATGACCATGCATATCATGTATATAAGAACCATACAGAGTGCATGTTCCCGTAAGAGGGTCGATGGCGCATGACACTCGGCAGTGGGGTAGAAGAATCAATGAGTACATCGTTCAAAGAAGATAGTTGTGGAATTTGGAGTTCATAGTGGTCTCATGACAGTCTTACGAGTCGTCATATGTGACCATCCTTCTATCGTTGTGGCAGAAGAGGGTGGAGTGCGTGACAGTACGCCAAACACCCCCCCTTTCTCACGTTTTCTCAGTTCCACCAAGCTAGATAACATGACGAGGAGCGTAATACAAATTCACACTACACGAACCTAGTTCACTCCGAGCATCGCCTAGAAAACCTTCAAATACGGCCATCGTGCATTTCTTTTTGCAAAACACCTCGCTCTAACCGTCGTTGCATTTTTCGATTGAAATTTGGAGACCGAGGAGCGCGGCGACGCATGCATGTGTTTCACTTCACCTCTTGCGTCGCCTCATCTCCCGCATTCTCGAAAGAGAAGCAACAAAAAGGGGCGCGTTTCGTCGTGGCAGGCCGGCCGACGAGGGGCTGTCGGGAGCCGTGGCTTCCCCGACGACGCCGCGAGGCCGGAGGTCAGCGGCCGAAGAGCGAGAACGGCTCGCCACACGTGTTGACCGTACTCGAAGGTTTTTCTTGTTAGATACGACGACCAAAGTTGAACTGAAAACCTACACCCACCCAGCCTGCTAGGTCACAGAAAAGTAATAGGAAAGGAAACGGGAAGAAGAAACACACGGCAGGTGAACCGGAGGGAGGGATGTGGGACGGGACGGACGAGGTCCACGGCTGGAACGGTCAAAGAGCGTGCGATTTCGCGTCCGCACCCCTCAAACCTCCACCGTCTCCTCCCCAGCACCGCACCATTCCTCTCCTCTTCCTCCTCCCTCCCTCTCTCCCTGCTGCTGACCCACCAACCCGCCGCAGACCAACGCGGCTGTG